AAAAACATTACGCTCAAAGAACAGGAAAAACAAAGTACGAAATCCAACTAGCAATTGAAGAGCTTCCTAGTAGCGGCCGAGCCTCCTCTTCCTAAGGCGCTCGGCAATAATAAACGCAAGCTCAAGGGATTGGGAGGCATTGAGCCTAGGATCACAATGGGTGTGGTACCTTGAGCTTAAGTCGTCGAACGTAAGGTTTCTCGATCCTCCAATACACTCCGTAACATTTTGGCCCGTCATCTCCAAATGCACACCACCCGGGTGGCTTCCCTCTTGCTCGTGCACATCAAAGAAAGCTCTAACTTCAGCCTGAGTGATGAAAATTTTTTGTACGATGTCACAACACAGAATAATTAGTCATTCATGACATTATGTTAAATATAATTACAAAATTATGTGTTCATTTGGTACTCTAAAAGTGGTTATAGTCTCCAATCTAACATAGTAAACCTTGAACCATTCATTTTCCGAGACATCCTTCTCAAGTTCTCATTAGCATTATTATACTAAATGTATGTCTTGTACGTACGGGTAATAGATCGGAGGTGAACTATATCCTGGTAACCACTACGACATAGGATAATAAGTTAATGGCGATAATATTACTATTATATGCATATATATACATAGATATACATACATACATATGTTGAGAGGGAAGGTGAGAGAGACTTTAATCAAGAGAATAATGGGCACCTACCACCACAATATGCTTTGAGGAAACAAACTTTATGATTAAGGCGCACAACTACTAAATGATGATTAAGGAAGCAGACTTTGTTGATTAAGACGCACAACTACCAAATGATGAACTTAAAAATGATCGCATTTTGATTCTTTGACAATCTCTAGCGATCTCAACCACGGTTCGTTCGATGCCATCCATAAAACGGTGTCCTTCTTTTGTAAAAAAATGTTAAAAACTTTTTTTTTTACAATACAAGGGACACTTGTCCCTCATCCAACGGATCAAATTAACCCTCGACCACACACACTTTAATAGAATCTACCTTTTTCTTTTAAGACATAATTTGGCAACTCAATCATAGTTTATTTGACTGGTTAAACGTCAACAAGCTTAAATTAGGTACATCCCATTAAACAATGCCATCTAAAAGATGTCCTTAGCAATCTATTTAGACCCAAGACATGTAACTAATGCTTCAATTAGATTTCCAAGTAAGGCCCCACATGAAGAAACTAAGAAGCGCAACACACATTTCTAAATACGGTGGAAATAAATCGGGCGACTTACCCTGATAGAGTCAAATGGGCGAGTTTTCAGACCACAGGGAGCTTTGATGGTGTTTCCATGCATAGGATCTGAAACCCACGTCACAATTTGTCCTGCCCTACGGACAGCCCTGATCAAATGGGGAAGCTTCACCCTCATATTCTCAGCTCCCATTCTCGTGATGATTGTTATCCTCCCTGCTTTGTTGTGAGGATTCAGGATCTCGATGAGCTTCACGAGCTCATTCGGATCCATCTTATCACTCACCTAAAGTGCGAAGAATAAAAGAATAGTTAACAAACTATTAGTACTCAAATTAACTACACACGAAAACATAATAGTGAGAAAAAAAAAAAAGCAAAAAAAAATCCAACAGACACCTTGATGCCGAGTGGGTTGGCGATTCCCCTGAGGAACTCGACGTGTGCCCCGTCCAGCTGCCTGGTTCTCTCGCCAACCCAGAGGAAATGGGCCGAGCAGTCATAGTAGAGGCCAGAGGTGGAGTCGAGGCGGGTGAGTGATTGCTCGTAAGGAAGAAGCAAGCACTCATGGGACGTCCAGAATTCGGTGGTCCTCATGACAGGATGGTCCATCGTTAGCCCGGCCGCTTGCATGAATCCTAGTGCCTCGTCCACTCGGTGGGCTAGCTCACGGTACCTGCATTGCAACATTCAAAAGGGTACCTCAGCCACCCAATGACCCAAACATACCCGTGCTAATACAGCATCAAGGGCATGGAATGTATTTTGATAAAAGTAAACAGTAGTGCTTGAAAAGAAAACAATTGTTTTTACAGAAAATGAAATTTTAGCGTAACTTGAATCAGAATTGATAAATTCAGTGGACATTAGCAGTATCGCCCAAATACAAACGAGCAATTAAATAAATTCAAAGACCTTTATCGGTGATGAGGTTATATAGATGTGCTTCATTCGGACTAAATGCTCAACCATACATTTTTCCAGAATTTATTCTTTGTTCTTCTGGCCCAAATGCTCAACCATACATTTTTTAAGTGCTTGCAAACATTAAAAAACAATCTAAACTTAAAGTACTTGAAGGAGTTTAAAACCATACAAGCATCATAACTCATAGTTTCGTAACAAACTATTCATTTTGTTTAATAAAAAGTAGGAAACTAACTAACACACAGTAACACCACAAGAACAAGTTGACATAAAATCCAGAGAATGATTTTAGGCATACCTATCACCCTGCTCACTATGATCGGTGAAATCCAAGTTCCACTGTGTGACCCTTTGCATGGCGGCATATCCACCAGTGGCAAAAGCCCTCAGGAGATTCAAAGTGGCTGCCGACTGACAATAAGCCCTTATCATCCTCTCGGGATCAGGAATCCTCGACTTCTCGTCAAAGGCATCTCCATTAATGTTGTCTCCTCTGTAACTCGGCAGCTTCACACCGTCTTTTTCCTCAAACGAGTCAGACCTAGGCTTTGCGAATTGTCCCGCCATTCTCCCCACCTGTGTATTTTACAGCAAAGGCAACTTAAATATGGTCTCCTTTTTCCCAACTTCTACTATAGTTCACTACAACTTCACAATTTTTTCAGAAAATTCAACATTAAATACAATATTGACAAATCAGGAAAGGAAAAAAAATAGATAGAACAAGAGGAAATTGTAGTCCTTTTCATTTTAAGGGAAGAATCAAATACCCAAGAAGAATCCAAAATTCATCATAATTCACAGTAAAACCGCATTCAACCCCAAATGCGGAACACATCTAGAGGGCATATACAAAACAACATAAACATATACAGAAATTGCCATTTTTTGGGACTGACTCGTGAAAAGGACAGAAATTAAAAGACGGGGTATAAAAACAAGACCTTGATAACAGGCATCTGGCCACCAAACATCAAAACAGCGCCCATCTGAAGCAGGATCCTGAAAGTGTCCCTGATATTATTAGCATTGAACTCCTTGAAGCTCTCAGCACAATCCCCTCCCTGCAAAAGGAAAGCATTCCCCATGGCGGCCTCGCCAAGCCGCTCCTCCAGGCTCCGGGCTTCTCCGGCAAACACGATCGGCGGGAAAGCGTCTAGGGTTTTGAGGACCGAATCCAGATTCTCCTGATTGGGGTAATCAGGCAGCTGCAGCGCCTTCTTCGACTTCCAGCTGTCCAGCGCCCATCTCTTGGGGGCCGACTTGGTCTCGACGGCGGCAGTAGAAGCGGACGACGTGGAGACGGCGGCGGCGGCGGCGGGGGCAATGGGGGTCTTGGGATTGGAGGGATCGGGGGAGTGGACGGCGGAGATGGGTTTGGCGGTGGATCTGAGAACGAGAGAGGAAGGAGTGTGGTTGGTGAGGAAATGGGTTTGAGGGATCATGGAGGATTTGTTGAGAAGAAGGGAATTTTGAGCAGCGAGCGCCATTGTAGGGGGTGTTTAAGGCGTGGTGAGTAGCAGAAGTCAGCAGATTGAGCGCGCCTCTTCTTTATTGAGAAAGGGTGCAAAATGGTTGAGGTTTTATAGAGAGCTGTGTTTTTTTTTTTTTTTTTTT